GTATTTTAATGCTTTCTCTCTGCCCAATAATCATGGTTCAAATGAATTCAGCAGCACTGCTGACCTACTCGAGCGCTTTGCAGTGAATATAAGACTGCGAAGCACCAGTTGCCCCACGATCTCCCAACTCTAAAAATTAATGGAGTCATGTAAACAAAATTAATATTGTCCATTTAATGGACACACGGGCAGGAGTAGCCTCATCACCCTGGGGATGGCCTGTGAAACAGCCTTCCTTGCCCTGAAGGTGATGTCACTTTGAACTTGACACTGTAAAGGAACAGACTGGTTGGGGAAAGGGAAAGGGCTTCAGAAGGACTATTTCAGAAGGAAATGGGTGGGATTAGCAACTGGTCAATGCCAAAACCAAGATATCTGGCTGCACCACCCTTGGTCAGGCCCAGTACCTCTGTTACACACCCAGAACTGCTGTTATTTTGACAAGGTTGAGCAGCTCAGCATGGTACCCACCTGTAAGTCCAACCAGGATCCAGAAAATCAGCAGTTCTTTCTCATCTTCTACCTTTGTCCAGTAAAGTACTCCCCAAGGTTCTTGCACACCATGGGCATCACCATAAAACATAGAGTGGTCGAGATTAACGAGCCTCTAAATCAAAGCACTCTCCAGAGAACAGGAGATCCAGGTTCACAGAATCACAGAACGATATGAGGTTGGAAGGGACCTCTGGAGATCATCTCAAACAACCCCTGCCAAAGCAGGTCCACCCAGAGCAGGTTGCACAGGAACGTGTCCAGGTGGGGTTTGAATGTCTCCAGAGAAGGAGACTCCACCACCTCTCTGGGCAGCCTCTTCCAGGGCTCTGCCACCCTCACAGGAAAGAAGTTCCTCCTCATCTTTAGACACAACTTCTTATGTTCAATTTTGTGCCCATTCCCTCTCGTCCTGTCCCTGGGCACCACTGAAAAAAGACTGGCCCCATCCTCCTGACACCCACCCTTGAAGTATTTATAGGTGTTGATCAGATCCCCCCTCAGCCTTCTCTTCTCCAGACTAAAAAGCCCCAAGTCCCTCAGCCTTCCCTCATAAGTGAGCTGCTCCAGGCCCCTCAGCATCTTTGTGGTCCACATCACCTAGAGTTTAACTCCACGTCACCTAGAATTTAGCAGAGGATGAGCCTGGCTACCGGGCTGCTGGCGTTTTCACCTCTCCAGCTGCAGCTGTTTCAGGGGGCAGTGAATCCAGAGTCACTGATCAGAGAAAGGGGACTCAAACACGCCCTGGTGACCAAGCCCCACGAACGCTGGAGCTACAGGTCCCCTTCCAAGGGCTGGTTGGTTTTTCACATGTAGGACTACTAGTGTTGACACCCGCAACTGCAACGCATGTCTTCCCTTCCCCAATGGGTCCGTCCCTCTTCCACCCTCTTTCCGGCCCCCAAAAATCCTGAATTAAGTCACCTTCAGCAGCAGCTGCAGTGAACGCTGCTCTAGGCAGATCAGCACCTGGCTCAGAGCATCCTCCTGGGAGGGATGAGCTTGAAACCTGGCCATCTCAGCAGCCTGGAGAAGTACTCCAGCCACCTGGCTGTCACACAAGCACTCATCACCACGTCCTCCTCCAAGTAAACCTTTCCCTGGATGTCTTGCTGGTGAAAATAAAGAACTCCGATCTGTTCCTTTGACAGAGAGACTACTGAATGTTTCCTAGCTGCACACTGCGCTCTCCTGCTCCCAGATTCCCCCAGTCAAAGCTCCAATGACACCAAAGGTTTGAAACTCATCTGTATTCAGCGTGTCTTTCGTCATCTGAGACACCATTTCAGATTGCCAGCACAGAATCACAGAATGCTATGGGGTTGGAAGGGACCTCTGGAGATCATCTCCTCCAACCCCCTGCCAAAGCAGGGCCACCCAGAGCAGGTCCCACAGGAACGTGTCCAGGTGGGGTTTGAATGTCTCCAGAGAAGGAGACTCCACCACCTCTCTGGGCAGCCTCTTCCAGGGCTCTGCCACCCTCAAAGTGAAGAAGTTCCTCCTCATGTTTAGGTGGAACTTCTTAGGTACAAGTTTGTGCCCATTTCCTCTTGTCCTGTCACCGGGCACCACTGAAAAAAGATTGGCCCCGTTGAAAAAAGACCAGCCCTGTAAAGTTCTAACCCTGATTGTTTGAAGGTAAAACCTCATCCCATGATTTCATAAAGCACATCTAGCATAAGACAACCAAATGTTACAATCAATGGTTTGCAGAGAGGCATACAGGGCTGAACTGGCGTAACGCAGCTTCAGTAAAGACCTACTCACCCCTTCACAAAACTTACTTCTACAAGATTTAATGAAAAGTGCTTTCTGGCATCACTATTATTTATTTTCCTACAAAAAACCTTAGAGTTAAACCTAACTCTGTCACTTGTTTGCTATTTCAGCACCGATATACTCAGGACTATTTAGAAACCAGTTGATCAGAAGCCAAATGAAAGTAACTTAGAATCACAGAACTGTCCAGGTTGGAAGGGACCTTTCAGATCATCTAGTCCAACCATCAACCTCACTCTGATCAAAACCATCACTAAACCATGTCTCTAAGCACTAGGTCAACCCGGCTTTTCAATCCCTCCAGGGATGGGGCCTCAACCACTGCCCTGGGCAGCCCAAGCCAAGGATTAAGAACCTTTTCCATGGAAACATTTTTCCCAATCTCCAATCTGAACCTCCCCTGTCACAACTTGAGGCCATTTCCTCTTGTCCCATCGCCTGGGACTTGGGAGAAGAGACCGACCCCCCCCGGCTACACCCTCCTTTCAGGGAGTTGGAGAGAGCCAGAAGGTCTCCCCTCAGCCTCCTTTTCTCCAGGCTGAAAAAACCCCAGCTCCCTGCCACACCAGCTCTTATAACTGGGCATCAGTTAAGACACTTGACATTTCTGACATCTCCAACACCAAGATAAAGAAGCAAAGAGTACAGGTGTTGCCTGGAACTTTGCTCATGCCCGAGTTGCACTCTAACTAAAAGTCTAAATGATAGATGGTGCCATAAATCTAACTTACAGCAAGACCTGGAGACACTTCAGTGGGTGGAGGTGTGAAGGTTCTCATGAAAACTGAATACTCCAGCAGCAAAGGCAGATGCTCAGCAGCAACGGCGGGGGGGGCCAATCGTTTAAGGAAAGATCCTTTATAATCATTATTTTCAGCAAATAACGTCACAGGGATTGCTGGCAGGAAATCCTTTTATTTTATTTACACTGAGGTAAGAATTTCTTGCCTCCTACATTTTCAGTGAGGTTTAGGTGGAACTTCCTCATGTTTAGGTGGAACTCCTATGTTCCAGTTTGTGCCCATTCCCTCTTGTCCTGTCCCTGGGCACCACTGAAAAAAGACTGGCCCCATCCTCCTGACACCCACCCTTGAAGTATTTATAGGTG